CGCTTTCCAGCAACAATCGTGCCACCGTATAGTTTTTATTGGTCACGGTCATGTGTAGCGACGAATCGCCTGTTTTTGGCACGAGAAGCTCGGGATCCTCGCCGAGCTCGAGGAATCGTTTGACAATGTCGTCGAAACCGTACTCGCAGGCCGCGTGGAAATGCGTGTATCCGAACTGATCGGCGAAGTTCAAGTCGAACCTGTCGTAAATTTTGAACAGCTCCTGCAGGCCGTAGTAGTCTTCCTTGTGAGCTGCGAGATGCACTGGTGTCATACGGCGCAGCAGTGGCTTGCCGTCGTCATCCACCTCGCCGTCGACTTCGGGCTCGTCCTTGTAGCCGGTGCCAATTAAGAACTCCAAGAACACATCGCCTGCATTGTCATCTACGCCTGTTCTTTTTGTTCTGCACTTAATGGAATCCTTGAGAAGCAAATCAATTTCTTTCGGCAGAAATATTTCACGGAGGTTAGGATACGCGCCAAGCCAGTCCATAAGTAAGGGTTGAATTTGACCGACTAAATCACCGGACTCATTCTCCTCCCAATGTAAATTTTCACGAATACTCTTCAATTTTTCAACGTTTACTCTGGCACATTCGCTCAAGATCCGTTCAATTTCGTCCATTTCGTCATCATTGACTATTTCACGAGAATCGTCGCTTGACGACATATCTATTGTTCGACGAACTCAAACACACAACACAAAGTCACTTGTTAATATAAAAAATATTTTTATTTATTCAAGAATTTAAAGTGACTAGCTGCAGTCTATGAGACACTTTTTCGATGTTCACGCTGAGGCGTCGTAACGTGTACTGAACCAGCGAGGGCGTAAACTGTTTACTGCACACATCCGCGCGAGCTATGCATGTGTCGATTGTCGTTTTTTGACCGAGCTTGCAGCGACAGGCGATGGATGACAAATGAGCGCGAGGAAGAGAGAAAGAGCTACAAAGACGTTAACACACGTGCAAAGGTCAGCGAGCGCTGAGAAATAGCCGTGGGAACTTCTCGTCGTAGCAGAAGCGACTAAACTGAATGGACTCTTGACAGTCTTTGCACCCACAGCAGCGCGTCAAAAAAATACTTACTGTAAAATTGTACGATTATAGCATTCGATGGTTTATAACGGGATAACGCCTCACATGCAACTTGCGTAAAGAAAAAAACGAAAGAAATTACATTCGAGCAAATCAATGAATTCATTCATTTGCAAATTTATTTATTATTATGAATTGGAAGGACTGAAACATTTAATAACATAAAACATTTAAAAACAACTTCAAATATGTTTATCGACATCACGAGCTTCGGCCCTCAGTGCCAAACAAATGTTGAGTAAATCTTTGCTCGATAGCTGCTGGATGATCATGTGACAGCAGAGAATCGGCAATTGGTAGCGTATCAGTTCCATCACAGGATCCATTGACCATCGCTTAAAAAATCCTCTCGACAGAATCTGGCAAAGGGTCTCTGTACAAGCTTCTCTAGCCCCCGGGCGATGGTACTTAGAGTATTTGCTACGGGAAAACCTGAAGTATTCCATATAAGTGAGTAATTTTGTCGCCTCTTCAGGTGGTGAGCGAACGAAGTCGTAGAGCGACAGACCCGGACGTACCTCGATCTCTTTCGTCTCTCTCGCGAACGATTCATCGTCGTACCAAGATTGGTCGAGCTCCCTTGGCTTCTCGAACACTTTCTGCTCAGCGAATAGGTTCATGATTGCCAAGGCGTCGCTTCGGTCCAGTTGGTAGCCTCTTTTCTCGAGAAGTTCGACGCAGGCCAGCATGCCGGACGCCAATCTCAATTTGGAATCGCTGATAATGTTATAATCCTGTAATTCGAATTCCTCGTTCAAGTCGCTCTCGGAGGGAAAAACGAATCCAGACAGATCAGCGCCGTGATCCAACAGAAACTCGACCACGTCCGGCAAAAGATTCGCTACAGCCAATTGCAGCGGTGTCCGACCTTTCTTGTCCACGGCATTGAGCTGCTGCTTCAGCTGGATATCGTCGGTGATCTCGAAGAAGATTTTCACCAATTCTGCATCGTAATCTTTTCTGCATATGATATGCAGCGGGGTCAATCCCTCGGCATTGACTAAATTAACATCCGCGCCTCTTCTCAGCAGTATTTCGGCTGTGAACTTCAAGCAGTAGTCCAGTGCCAAGTGTAGCGGTGTGTTGCCCGATTTGTCTCGGGCATCGATTTGCACCGGCTGATGTTTCTTGTTATCGAGAGCGAAAAATAGCTCCGCCATGTCGTCGTCGGCATCTATTTTACACTCGTTTCTAAAGGAAACAATGTGCAGAGGAGTAAATCCGTCCTCGTCGTTGACGACATTCGGATCTGCCCCGTGTTCCAACAGCAATCGCACTATGTCCTTGTCACCCCAGGTCAGAGCCAAATGCAGTGGCGGATCGACCCATCCTTGCGCAACGATGTTTGGGTTCAGTCCGAGCTCGAGAAATCGTCGAACGGACTCGGTACAGCCGAACTCGCAGGCCGCGTGGAAATGCGTGTATCCAGAACGATCGACGAAGTTCAAGTCGAACCTGTCGTAAATTTTGAACAGCTGTAACAGCCAGGGCTGGTCTTCCTCGTAAGCCGCGAGATGTATCGGCGTTGTGCGGCGCAGCAGTGGCTTGCCGTCGTCATCCACCTCGCCGTCCACCTCGGGATTGTCCTTGTAGCCGGTGTCAACTAAGAAATCCAAGAATGCTTCTCCAGGATTATCATCCATTTCTATCAGCGTGTAAACTATGGACTCCGTGAGAAGCAAATCAACTTCTTTCGGCCGAAATATCTCACGGAGGTTAGGATACGGGCCGTGCCACTCTCTGATCAACGGATGAATTTCACCGACTAATTTAACGGGATCGTTCTCCTCCCAATTGAAATTATCACGAATACTCTTCAATTTTTCAACGCAAACTCTGTTAAGTTCGTTTAAGTATCGTTGAAATTCGTCAATTCCGTCATGTATGGCACCTCCGCCATTGACAGTCTCGCGAGATTCGTTGTCGGACGACATGTCTATTGTTCGACACACTCAAACACAACACAATCACTTAGAAAATAACACTGTTCTCTATTACCTTACGAGAATGAAGAATCACTTATTTCTGTAGTCGATGCGATACTTCTTTGATGTTTAAGCTCGGGCGTCGTAACGTGTACTGATTTGAACACAGCGATCGTTGATCTATATAACCGTGTAAACATGTGCGCGAGCTGTACGTATGTGTCGATTTTCATTTGACTGAGCAGCAGCGACGCGCAAGGAACACGTACATACAGACATGGTATTGAGAGAGAGACAGACAAAAAGTCTGTGAGGTGTGAGCGCAAGAAGTATAACCGCGGGAACTTTTTTTCCAGATGCGAGCCAACGGACTCTTGGCAGTTTTGGCATCCGTAGCAGCCGCTCATCGAAAAGACTCGATCCACACAATTCAGCGATTAACGCGCTCGATCGTTTTTCAAAGGTTAACGCCCCGTACTCAACGTGCGTAAGGAATTTATTCGAAAAAAAATTATCTCTCGCGTTCGAGTAGAGTAGAGCAAGCAACTTTTTCACTCGAAGAAACGAAACAACAAAAAAAAAGGTACATCAGTCTGAGCCCGAGTGCCAACTGCAAAGCGGCTAAAAGCGCGCGAAATGGCATAGAAAACCGATACCCAGTCACGCGCCGCAAACAATGCACATAGAGATACGTCGCCTCTCCGCCTTCGCTCATAAACGTTTCAACGCGGTAGCAAACGAAAAAAAAAGCGAAATAATGCCTGAACTCGCACCTCTGTATAAAACACGTGCATGCAGCCGTTGCATACGAATAAATCCATAAGCCATCTGCAATATCCGCGGTATGTGCTGCTGCTGTTGCAGCGCGCCGAGTATTAATTAATCGTATCAATCGAAATCGCTCCATCTGCAACTCTGCGCAGCGGCGTGAGCAGTGAGCACATGCATGCGAGATTCTCAAAATTGCACCGTGTGTGTAACATAATTCGATGGCTCGCGGATCGACAATCCCTCGATTCACTCATGTGCGAACGTGTGAACAAAAACAACACAACGTCAACGTGTGTGTGCGCGAAATGTAGCAGGCGCGGCAGTGGGTGTGAGTGTGTGTACACAAAATCGCGTTCGAGGGTCATAAACAAAACATCAAAGTCGTCGTCGTCGTCGTCGTCATCGTTGTCGTTGGGCTTAAAGCGGACGAGCTGGCGGACGAGCGCGCGAAAACCGTAATACGATAATCCTCGCGAAGCGCCGTCGACAAAAGCCTCTACCACTCAGCTGCCTATAGATATATGCCGTGTCTGATACAGCCATGTACAGATATGTGTCAGTGTGCGCGACCAAGTGTACAGCTATATAGCACGCGAAAGCTCTCTCTCTCTCTCTCTCTCTCTCTTGCATCCGCGCCTTTTCAAACTGGATATTCGAATGCGAGAGATCGCGCGACGACGTGCGCGCGCGCTAGTGTAAAACTACCCTCTCTCTCTCTCTCTCTCCTTCTCCCCTCCCACCCTCCCTCTCGCGCAGCACTGCGTGCAGATATGCTGGCTGCTGCTACTGCTGGCTGCTGCACACTCCGCGCCTCAGCTTCCCAAGTTCGAACGGACTAACGGAGGGAGTATCTGTGTATGTGCAAAATCTTAGTGGTAGTATTGCTGGTGGCGGTGGTGGGTTGCACTGCATATAAGCGCGCGCTCGGCCCGCGTTTTCACATGCCATATATATGCATGTGTATGCGCGCGAGTTAGAGTGAGAGAGCTTGCGCTAAAGGGAGCGGCTGCGTTAGGACCGAAAATGGCTGCTGTGCAGCAGCAGCAGAGAGAGAGAGGAGCAGTGCACAGAGCAGCAGCACTCAGCAGCAGTAGTAGTAGCAGACGGCTCTTTAGTATAGCGTCGAGTCCGAGCGCACACCGACCGCCTCTACTTGTTTTTTAACCCCTCTCCGTCAGTCAGTAGTCGACGTCGACGACGATGTACATGAGCACGAGATTATTGTAGCACTGCAGCTGCTCGAGCTCTCTACTTAATACTCGACTCGACCGAACGACGGTTGACATTAATTTTGTTGTTGTTGTCATCGACGATTCGATGATTTTCAAAAGTGTAAGTGCAAGTGCGTGAGTAGTGTACAAGTGTGTCAGTGTAACACTCCGTATAACGTGTTCTTTATCGAATAAAATTTGAAAAAATAGTGCGTGCGTAATTATTATCAAATCGTAATTAATATGTGTGCTCGATAATTATAATCCAGTGCCTGCAACTGCACTGACATGAGGTTGATCAGCGATCGTCATCGTCGTCGTGCCCGTTGCTCGTCATCGTCATCGTCATCATCGTCGTGTCTCGTCGCAGCTGATTACGTGAGATCGCCGTCGTCGAGTGTCAAGAGGCCCTCGATAAAGCTCCAACGGTTCGGAGCAGCAGCTCGTGCTGGTCGCGCCTTTTATACCAACACTGCGATTGGCCGATTTTACATTAATGACGATATCGTAGCATTGACATTGCACAGGTAAGCAGAGTTGCGTTATACAATAACGAGATTCGACGAGACGATAATCGAACGCGCTCGAGCGCTTTTCAAAAGAGACGTTTTCAAATGTTCGAATTTGTGAATCGTTGCAGTTCCGCGGAAAAATACCGCGATCAATCGTTACCCAATCGTCCACGATCAGCGCGGAAATTGGCCGTTATATTACGTGTACCATATAGAGATAGTAGCTGCTGCGATGCACTATATATAGAGAGCCGCGCACACGGCTAGCCAGCCTCATGCACACCCTCCCAACCGTCGATAGTCGTACATACATATACGCGCTCGCGACGACGTCGTTTCTGTTTGTTTTATATTTAGCGCGCGTTACACCCCTATATACATAGGTATGTGTATTAACGGAGCACTCATGTGTGTGTGTGTGTACGTGTGTGTATGCGTCGGTCGCTCGCTCTCGAACTCGAGATGAGTCTCGTGGGAGCGGTTAGTCATCTCGGCGAATCGTGGCGCCCATGCATAGGTATATAATAAGAGGGCTGCTGTGCGCACTATATATACCGACTGTGTGCCCTCGTCGCGTATAGCACACACGGATTATATATCTAAGTGCCCAGCGCGCGCGTTGCAGCAGCGAATGTCAGGTTCATTACGTTATCCCTCCCTCCCATGTATCAAAAGAGATATAAAAGTAGCCCATTTCCTGCTTCTTTTCTTATTCTTCTTCTTCCTCCTCTTCCTCCTCCTCTTCTTCTTCTTCTTTTATATATTTTTTTATTTTTATATTACGTACACACACACACGGACAATTTCAACAAAAAAAAGAGAGGGTAAAAAAAAGCAGCTACTCTCCGACCGACAATTGCGGGTGCACATAGTGCATTGAGCGAGAGAGTAGGGGCTATTGTCGCACGCGCTCGCACGAGAAAGCACATATAGAGATGGAGTAAAAAAAAATACCGTGACACATGAAAGTTATGACGACGACGACGGCGGCAATGCCCAAGATGTCTTTCTTTACTCATACATATATACATTTTTTCATCTCTCTCTCGCTCGCTCCTTGTCGATATCCAAGCTTATTTTTTTTCCTTTTTTTTCTCTTACTTTTCCATCCATTCCCTTATATATATATTCCCCTCCTCCCGCGCCCCCCTTTCTCTTTTCCTTTTCTTAATACTCTTTATCCGTACGCGGCCAAACGCGAAAAAAAGCAGTATGATCAGCGAAGCTCGAAGCTCCGCTGCAGCTCGAAAAAGAGAGAAGATCGATCTCCTTCCTTCTCTCGTCGTCGTCGTTATATGCTGCTGCTGCCTCTGCCAGAGCCTGCCTTAGCCTGCCACGTTCCTTTTTCCGTTCGACCTTATATACCAGCACTGCTGCTTCTACTGCTGCTATACTGCCACTGGTCTTTCTCTCACGGCTCGATGAAGAGAGAGAGCAAAAATCTCACTCTCGAAACGTCCTCTCGTATCTCGTGCCTGTATGTAGCATACCTTCTCTTCTTCCTCCTCGTGCCCCTCCGAACATAGACACACAATCTTTGATCAAAGAGAGAGAGAGAGTAGTTGAGACTCTCGCTTTCCACTTGATTTTTCGTCCATAAAATCTTGAGCATGTTTACCTCGCTTCTCCCCCCATCTGCTACTGCTGCTACTTCTTCCCTCCAATCATCTCGGGTCTTGAGTAAAGAAAAAATAAAGGAGAAAAAAACAAGCGACAGATTTTTTTGTTACTTCTACTTCTTTTCGTGTATACATGCGCCACGGCGTAAAAAAAAACGACTGTCCATGCAAAAACAACCCCGTGCACTGTTACTACTACTACAACTGCTGCTGCTGTGACTATCTCGCTTGCTCCTCGACGTTTTTTTCTCTCTCTCTCTCTTACTCCCCCCTGAAAAAGAGGTCAAGTGGCGAGCAGCGCAGCGGTGTAGCACACGCGAGAAGAGAGAGAGCGAGAAGCCCCGCGACGAGAGTGAACGTCAGATAAAGAGAGCGAGAGACACCGACTGATACTCCTCTTCATTCGTTTTGTTGTGCTACTACGTGTGTGCGGGTTTATGCATGCATGTGTGTGTTTTTTATCTCTTTCCCGCGAGTAATTTGAAGTGGCCGTCGGCTGTAGAAGCCTTCCTTATTTGCATTAACGCCGCACCGCACACACCGCGTGCTGCTGCTCCTCGTGTGCATTCCCCTCCTCCCTGCTCCGCTTCCTCTTTTTTCTCATCACATTTTCAACGGTGCGAGGGAAAATCCTCCTCTCACTCGGTGTAATGGCTGTTTTTATAGAAAATGCTCGCGCGCTCGGCAGAGAGAAAGGAGATAAACTAAGAAGAGAGAGATAGAGAGAGGGTGAATTGTTGTTGATACAAGGGCCGTTGCCGTTGCCGCGTAACTCAGAGTGTGAGAGAGAGTGTATTTTTACAAGGGATAGTGTAAAATGAACGCAAGTTTATTTTAGCTCGATCGATCATTTCTTACCCCCTATACGTATATCGATATAACGCCATTATCTCGCCTCGCACTCTTTGAGAGAAAAGTTTTTTCCTCCTTCGCGCTACTGCCGCTATCTATCTATCTCTCAAAATATAACGAAAAAAAAGGAAAGAAAGAAAGAAAGAATAAGGAAAAAAAGAAGAAGAAGGAGGGAAGAACAAGGAAAATCACGCCTGATAAGCATTTTCTTGCAGCGCAGCAGGGGGATAAGGAACTTTTCGAATCGAGCCGCGCGTGCCGCGTAATAAAATGATACTCTTCTCTTTTATACTAACTATCGGCCGTTGAGCTAGCCAGCCAAGTCAGCCTCTCGTGTACTTTATAATTTGCCTCTTCGAGAATTGCGACTCTTGTTCTTTTCTCCTAGTGCTATACTTATTGGGAACTTTTGCGTAAATCAACGAGAGCCTTATAGGTCTCACCCCCTTCCCCCTTCTTTCTTCGAGCTTTCATTCGCTCTCACGGCAGCAGCCTCTCTCTCTACAGCTCTCACGCGATGTTGCTACTGCTGCCTGGCGCGCAAAGTTCAATTGCAGCTATATATATGTAAAGGCTTTGCAGCCCTACTATACTATACTATGCTACTGGGCGAGCAGCTCTTGAACGATCGCGAGGTGAGTTTATATAAAAGAGAATAAAAGAAAAAAAGGAATTTCATTTCCAATAAATTCCAGAGCTCGCGCGTGGTGGGGTAATATTATATATGTGTCGGTATACACACCTTTTGTGTGTGCGCGTATGTGTACGTGATATATATTGTTTGCGCCCTTTATTAAGCGCCCCGCCGACGTTATAATTGCGAGCAATTAATTACACACAATCGCAGCTCGAGTGCAGTTTTATATTCATATTATAATCTTCGAGTAGTTTTTTTTTTCTCTCTTTTCTTCTCTTTCACTCTGTCCTTGACTCATTTTTTTTTCATTTCGTTCGTATCGAAAAATTAACAAACAAAAATCCAAAGGAAAAATTGATATTATTGCTCTCTCTCTCTCCCTCAACGCGTATGCACTTTGTGTATACGCACGAGCGAAAAAGTCATTAAATTAAATTTCGGCCACCCCCCGTCGTACGTGCAGCGTATATAATAATCAAATTATATATGCGAACGTTCAAGTACATCACACATGTGCCTATATATGTAATATGTGTGTGTGCAAGAGACGCACTCGTAATTAAGCGTAAAATATTTTCTCGATTTAATTAATAATGCTCCGTTAAGTACGCGAAATGCCGCTGCTGCCGCCGTTGCACACGTTACACACGCGCGAAGTAAGAAGGGACTTGGCTCTGCGGTTCTATATATCGTGTACAACCACTTCGTGAATTAAACGCAAAAGTTAAATGTACGTACGTTTGTGTGTGTGCGCGTGGGTGGGTGGGTGTGTGACGGAGGGATATATATGCTTGAGTCGAGAGCGCGCAGTACAGCATTAGTATCGCGTTATGCTCTCCACCGCTAAACTTCAAGAAATTCAAACTTATTTACTCTCTCTCTCTCTCTCACTCCTACCCGCAATGTACATGGATGTAGTATTACTGTATATTTTTACGCTGCTCTGAGCAACTCCCGATGAAATTCACACTCAACTCTCGGGGAGCTTATGCAACAGGATTCGCGCGCGCACGATTTAAACCTATTTGTTATGATTTGCCCGGATATAATACGCATTGTGTAAAGTGTGTCGTTGCGCTGCTCTGAGACCACTACTGGACGCGACGAGAGGGAGAAAAAGAGCTCGATTTTGCGCGCTGCGATCGGGTTTACGGCGGCAAAGATCCGGATTATTAGCTTTGAATATTTAAATGTAAATATATACGATTTGCACTCGCAGCTCTCTGCACTTTGGTCCGTATTATTGCTGCGAGCGCGTATAAACGTTGAAATATCCGCTGGATGATTCGTTGAGCTGTGTAATGTACGGCTGCATACTTAACGATATTTCTCGGGGCTTCTTGAGTTTCGTTTTGTTTTTTTTTCTCTAGTCGTCGTCGTCGTTGTTACATCAAAATGCAAAATATCTCCTGAAGGTAGGAGAGGAGCTAGTTTTCATAGGGCCTCGACGGCAAGCCAAGTTTAAATAAAAAAAGAGATACAGAAGGGAGAGAAAAAACTTATGAATCGTAATGATCACAGAGAGAGAGAGAGAGAGAGAAAGAGAAAGGAGCCCAACCACCGCGCGCGCAGTTTCGTATAACAATAGACGCTTTTTTTTTATATTTTTTTTTGTTAACACTCGCTCTCGCGCTGACGGATAAGGAATATATACAGTTCATTTTCTTCTTTTTTTACACCGGAAAATTCGCTTAAGCGACTCTTGAATACGCGTCTCGCGAGGATACAGTAAAAAAAAGAAAAAAAAGAAGGAAGAGACGGTACTCCCTTTTCACAAGCTGCTCATGCAAAAAAAAGGGCAATATAACCTCGAGGTATAACATAAACGAACTTATTTTCCCTTTCAGCGAGCGCGCATAATAAATCTATAAACGCCCGGTCGAAATAAGTTTTTCCTTCCCTGAGAGAGAGAAAGAGAGAGAGAGTTCGTAATTAAGCGATGATATACCGGGTATATGAGCGAGAGCAGCTGCAGAGGTAGTTGTGTGTAGTATAGTGGCGGCGGCGGCGGCGGAGCTCCGCAGCGAGCGAGTCTTGTCGAGTGTCTGGAGTGAGAAATGATTTTGCAGTTATTTCGTATACAAGACAGATATAAGCAAGCTCTGTGTGTATATATCGTATATATTGCGCGCACTCGAGTGCAGTTTATACGTTGTTGCGCGTTATATACACACACAAAAACAGATATATAGAGAGAAAACGCCAAAGTGCTTTCTACCGAAAATATTGAGCGAAATCCGTATTTTCTTCGTTAAAAAGTTTCCAAAGATATTTTTGCGTTTCTCGCATTTTGTGCGTACATGTGTTTGAGCGCGCAGAGAAAATTACTGCGATCGATTCGTGAGCTTTTGTTCCCCCGACTCTTTGTGTACATCTGTAAAAACAAGCGCTTACGTACGCTCACAAAAGTGACGTATTTATCCTGGAAAATCGAGTACATCGCGAATGTCAGATAAGCGTATACTACGTACGCGCGATACATATATTACTATTTTCATAGAAAGAGGCAGCGTTGTTGGGAAAGAAACGCACCTCAACTCAGCCAGAATCAGATGACTTTTCCAGATACTATATAGTGAGTATATATTCGCTTTAGAGTTCAAGAAAGGCGGGACCTTTTGGACCTGGAGAGAAACTTCATTTAAGCTTTAAAAATTAGACAATTCAAGAAATGTCACTGGATTGTTTTAATCATATCTTGCAACTTATACAGCAGGCTGATTTAACTTGCTCACAAGTTTCCATGCGCCACGTAGCGCTCACAATATGAACTATAAAACGTCTCATTTAGCTTACATCGATATGTACGTGCGAACAACGAAATACTTTATGAGGATTTAATGATGAAATACTAATTAAGCTGAAAAGTACCATTATTTTGAAACGATTACTACTATTGCATTTGAAATAAATTCATTTAAAGAGCAAGGCAATTTCTTTGACTATACTATATTTAAAAGTGAAGAAAGGCTGCTAAGATCGCACGTAAATTATTTGAAAGCGAAAATTGAATACATTATATTTACATGCAGAATGTTCTCTTATCTAAGGCTATGGCATTTGTTAAGATTTGTGAAAAGAATTGTCTTAGATCGAATGTTTTTCCTGAAATAACATGTCAAAAGATCAAATTTGAAACAAATATAAATTCAAAAATAAAAATTTGCACGAAAACAAAGTCAAATTTACGTCCTTTATTTTAAAGTGATTTCTGATTAGTCGACCAATTTTTTGACTTGACTTTGAATTCAATATAGTGACATTTTTTCCATCCAAAATATCTATCTGAAATCGTTTTAATTGTGGTGTGCTCGGTCGTCAGTGTCAACAGAGAAGTGTATTGAGAGGAAGCGCTATACGGATTACCAGAGTAGAGTCGATTAGCTTAGAATAATAGATCAACGCAAAATTATAAAGCACGCACTAGCATGCTAAATTTATGCAAGATACATGGCATGGCTTTTTCTAATGAAACTTTTATAATTTTTTAAAAATTGTATGTTATTTTCATCTTTATTTATGCGGCAGTGAGATAACAACACAAGACCGTAAATCAAGTTTTTTAATAAAATAATAATTTAATATATGCTTAATATCATCGATGAGGTCATGGCGAGCGATGTGCCATAGCAATATGGGCTCTCAGACTTCTTTTTTGTCCGAATTTCTTCCCACACGAATTGCATATAACCGCCGTATCAATGTGGGTTTTGACATCACTCTGTTTTATAAATCCATTGATTCTCTTATTAAATTTATTGATGTGAGCATTGAGATGTTTCTTCTTTGAGTTTATTTGACTTTTATGCACAGAATTGATGTGGGTATGGAGATTATTCTTTCGTGTGAATATTTTTCCGCAACTATCACACATATATGTGACGCCATCATGAATCGAACTGGTGTGGATAGTGAGATGACAGACCGGGAGCCGGTGACCTAAATTTCTGCTATATCTTATTCAGTTTGAGAAGGTATACAATCGGTAATATACATTCTTATGAGCCCAAAAAGTCATTTCTTACACCCCGCTCATAGGGCATTATTTAAATAATTATTAATAAACATGTCATTTTTCATAGGGTCTATGTCAAATCTTATTCAGCATAAAACCTTATCAGGACTTTAGTTTGAAGTGCACAAGTCATGAAAAACCATTTCTTACACCTACCAAGTGGGGCAATGCTTTTCTTACGGAGACCGGAAAGTGTCAAATTTTTCGAGGGTACTGTTCGATCTTATTCACCGTCTAAGTTTTAGCAAATCAAACTTCTGATTGTTAAAAACAAGAAAATCAATTTCTTACGCCCCAGACCCGGGGCTAAGAGCTTCTTACAGTTCGTTGAACATGAGCACTCATCAGCTCTACGGTCTTGGAATAATGCATCTCACGTGATCACTTTTTTTTTAATATATTTTTGAGTAGAATAGAACATACTTATATATTTATTTATTACAATTTATATATATATTAGACTGGAAGCAAAAAAAAAAATAGTCTGTGCAAAATTTTAGCTCATATAAATTGAGATAACCCGTGCCGCCAGTCGCTTGAAGGTTTTTAAATTCGATTTAAATTAATTTTTACCGCTTCTTTACAGCGATATTCAAATGGCTCTGTAGCCGTCAATTTTCAAGCAAATAAAACTTCGAACCC